CGATTTTTTCCACAGTCCAGTATTTTCTTTCAACACAACCTTTCGCTATTCCCCTTTAACTAGGTCCTTCCAATACTAGCACTACCTCCCATCTTCTCTAACTTATTAATATATTCTGTGTGTGACACTATAGAAATGCTACGATGAAGTTGATCCTACTATTTTTCCTGTCTAGGACAGGGGAGCAGCAACCTGCAGCTCATGGTACTACTGGACTGGCCCATGGACAGCTTTGGCAGCAGAGCATTTCAGATGTGGGCAATCCCCCAAAGGGTTGCATCGCATCCAGCCACTTCTGACTGTCCTTTTGACTTTACAATTGGATCACCTGGCAGTGACCCTTGGCACGACTGCAGAGCAGGGAACTTTTCACTGGAACAGGCACCATCACATCTTTGACTGCTACTTGGATGCCAGCAGCAAAAACACAGGAGGCTTCCTGCTTTCCATCCTGATGCCTGACATTCCAAAGCAACAGAGAAGAGTCCTGCTCGGTGACTCTGCGGAGATGAAGTACATACAGCCTACTCACACGCAAAATTTAGCTCTAAGGGGCTGGATCAGGGATCAGCAACCCCCCGCACATGTGCCAGAACATGGCACGTAAGGCCATTTTGCTCGACTCGCAGACGGCAGGGGAGAGGCCAGACTTGTGCGGCCTGAATACACCTCAAATGTTTTTATTTAGCCACTTCTTTCCTCAGGTGCCATGTTTTAAGTGCCAGGCAGCTGCATGTGGCTTATAAACCATAGTCTGATCACCTATTTAATTGCTGTCAACTACTTATTATGCAGTTTCAAGAGTAAGCTGAAGTGTTCTGAAACTACTGAACATTTCAACGTGGCACAGACTGCTTGGCTTTTTCATGGGTGTAGTGCCAATAAGGGATGAGAGAACCCCCACAAAGGTAGTAACACGAGTCTTAGCAGCCCTGGCCACTACACGCTCTGTCATCTAACAGGTTCTGTGCACCAGCCTATGCTGCTTAAGTGATAAGGATGAGACCATATTTCCCCAGTGGAAGACTTGCACATCTATATCTATACTTAAAAAAAAAACAACAACAACAACAACAAAAACCCCAAACACAGCAAACAAATGGAATTACATTCTTTACCTTAGAAAAATAAGTTGCAAGCTCAAAAATAAGTATATAAATAAATGCATGTGTACTCCCTTTCAATAAATTTGAAAGTGGCAAAATGTGTTTTTCTTACAGAAGATGGATCTAAATAGCACATGGTTTCTAATCTAAATCTGAGTTAGGGAATGACCTTGATTTTCTTTGTGAAGTCAAGAAGCTTAATGACTAGTAAGATAGCAATTACTCTTATCTGCAAGAGTTTCTTTAGAAAAAAAAGCAAGATGCTCTCAGGAGAGGAAGTGTGGCATGCAGCCTATTGTAAGTGTGACATGCAGCCTATTTTGACATAGGCCTTTTGTTAAAGTGGTTTCCTGGAGATGACTATGCCAGCACTATGTACTTTCAAGCATATTGATCAGAGTGAATTAGAATGCAGAAGGAAGCTAGGAGTCTGAAGTAATTTGTTTAGAATTGCCATTCTAAATTTCCAAATGCCTGTATTGAGATTGCATCTTTACAAATTTAGTGACTGCTTGTTTTACTTTCAATTAAGTAGCAAAACATGGATTATTATGCTGTACTTAGGCTGGACTTTTCAACTGAGGCCCACTGTCTCAATTCAGCAAGGGATTTGCTGCCTGAAGTCAATGTGCCTATTTGCATATTTTATAGTTAAGGATACAAGTGTGTTTTGCTGAACTGAGGCCCAAGTTCATAGCACCAGTAGTTAAAACCAGAATGCACACTTAGGGCATTTATCCACATGCTCTGGGAGGCATAGGGGGTGGGGAAACGCTTTAATTAACACAGCTCTGAGACCCATGCTGAGCATCAGTGCCCCTGCACTGAAAAATGGTGGCAGGGCACTAGTTTACAGTGCCCCCCCGCACACTTTTTACCACAGGGATGCTAATACACGTGGCACTGGAGGTTTCTAGAGTGTGATAATTGAGTCTGCTGCAACATGCTGGAATTCCGGCATTTTGGAGCAGACTTCCTATGTTCTTAACTCAAGACAAATGTAAAACTTATCTTTCCCATAGCTTGAAGCTTAAAAAAACCCAAAGAATTATTTATGTTCTTTGAATCCCCGCCACAGTCAGCAGCGTAACTCCTTGCTTCCCTGGTGTAGCACCATACACCTCAAAGTGACAGAGCTTGCAAACCCCAAGTCTAACAGGCAAGACAGAAAGGAACATCTAAACTCTGTTATTTTTCTTATTCTTCATCCCTGCTGTTTTACAACTGTTTCATGTTCCACTGGCCATCTAGCTTCAAATGCCCATTGCCAAAGCATGTTTAACACTTCATGCCGGTCACAGGATCAGAGGACAGTAGGGCTGCAAGGGACCTCATGAGGTCATCTAGTCCAGCCCTCTGGCATGTACGCAAATGTGTTTGGATGAAGAAGCATGGAAATTTGAGACAGCTATGAAATAAAGCAGAAAGCTCTAAAGAGTAACCAGGAGGGGAAGAAAAAGGAAAAGCCAGTTAATCCCCTCAGGGTAGGGGCACGAGGTAGAATGCTACAGTATAAAAAGCAAAACAACAGAAATGGTTTTATTTTTTTCATGGTGTGCCAGCCTTGTCAGCAGTTCTGCTGTGGACAAACTAAGGGAAACCAAGGCAAACCCTCAGCTCCACCATGGAAAGATTAAAATTACCCAGCACCCCCTCCTCTGTTGCCGTTACCACTCATACAGCTAAAACTGTCTCTATGCAGTTCAAAAATCTGATACAAAGAGAGGTGCCAAGAAAACCAATGTTAATGAATAGGAGTGCTTCCTTTATAATGGTAAATAATGGAC